GTCTTCCTCTCTTGCTCCATCCTTCCACCCTCCTAAGCATGATGTCCCTCTCCAAGGACTGGTCCCTCCTTGCAGCATGTCCAAAGTATATCAGACAAAGCTTCAGAATCCTTGCCTCCAAGGAGCAGCCTGGTTTCACCCTCTGTAAGACAAACTTGTTTGTTCTCCTAGCAGTCCATGGTATATTCAATACTATTCTCTAGTACCACAGCTCAAGGGCATAAATTCTCCTTCTGTCATCCTTAGTCATTATCTAGCTTTTTGATACATAGCAAGTAATTGCAAAGACCATGGCCTTGATCAGGCACACCTTAGTCTCCAAACTGGCATCATTGCTCTTCAGTACTTTGGAGAGGTTCCTGACAGCCAGCTTTCCCATTGCAATTCATCTTTTGATATCCTGGCTGCTGGTGCCTAGAGTGTTGATTTTGGAGATAAGCAAGCTGAAGCTGTTAACAGTCTCCATCTCTTCACTACCTATCATGATGCTGCCAACGGACCGAGTGGTGAGAATCTTTGTTTTCTTGATGTTGAGCTTCAGTCCATATTGAAGGCTGCAGTCTTTGACCTTCTGCCGCAAGCACTTCAGATGCTCCTCTGTTTCGGCAAGTCAGGTTGTGTCATCTGTATAATGCAAGTTGTTGATGAGTCTTCCTCCAATCCTGACGTCACATTACTCCTCATAGAGCCCAGCCTCCCGGATGATCTGTTCCCCATATAAATGGAAAAGGTATGAAGATAGTACACATCCCTGGTGCACACCCTTCCGGATTTTGAACCATACAAACCATACAACATTTCCTTGCTCTATTTTGATGATAGTCTCCTGGTCCAATTATAGGTTTCACATTTCCAGAAGTCCAGTGAGTAGAGCCTGCGTGTTTAACTAGTTTTGGGGTTGTGCGCAGGGGAAGATTTCACTTTGCTGTATCCAACCCAGGTACACCCACACACCGAAGTTATTAAAAATTTCTACTAGCCACGAAATTAAAAAAGAGACACTCTTTTAAAACATGAATGAAATTAATTAAAAAAAATATTTTTTTGGTGTATAAAAGCCTGGTTTTTGCTTGTTGTTGTTAATGTTATTATGTACTGTCAAGTTGGAACCAACCCATAGCTGACCCTGCAGCAGGTTTTCAGAGGCATTTAATCACATGGGACGAGATTGCCCATCCTTCTCCCACCTCAAACATGTGCCTCTGGGATTGCAGCGCAACTTCTTGCCACTAGACCTTCAGCGCTCCCTAAGTTTTTGTTCACAAGGCACTTAGTTTATGTTAGTGGTGGAGTGATTCGAGAAAGGTGGAATGGTTATAATGTGGTCAGTGTTACTGAATTATGTATGTAGAAATTTTGAGGTGGACTATACATAATTACATATATTTTAACCATGATAAAAATTTTTATAGTAATAAGATAAACCTTTTAGTCAATCTATTATAGCCATAATAATATTGCCACTTGAACAGAAAATTTTAAAACTGTTGATGAAATGAGTCACTTTTTTTTTCCTTTCTCTACCAAATATTTTAACTGGGATGTATGCTTTATAATTACAACACACCTTTTTTGGATTAATTGCATTTCATTTGTTCAATCATCACATATAGTCACTGGCTATTATTTGGGGCAGGATAGATCTAGAGGGATGTAAGAATAAGGTGGAGAAAGTGTACTTACATATCTTGATGAAACCAGGCCCTGGTTTGGAATTGAAGGAATTTGCGTTGAATGGCAAGAAAACTCTTAAGCGAAATTTTCCCTTTCTCTGATGTGCAATTTCCCCCCATTTACACTAAGCTACATTGGTCTTAAGCATTTTCTCATAGTCAAAGTCTTAGACGCAGAAGGGAATTTAAGGACGTTCCAGCCCACCAGCCTGCCTGACCTGCACACTGTCCACTGTCACATGATGTTAAGTGAGCATGAGTGTGTGACTCTGGGTGGTGCACTCTGATTTGATAGAGGATTGTTCATTTCGAAAGTGGCTCTTTTTCTGTCTCTTAAACTATATCCATCACTCTTTCTCCACATTGCCTATTAAATGTTAACTGTGCTGACAAGTTAACTATTGTAATAGCTGACTTTCAGTGGTTTTTTAGAGGCAGTAAATCACACAGGAGGTGATTGCCCACTTTCTCCTGCAGAGCAACTGGTGGATTTAAACCACCTGCCTTTGGATTTGCAGCACAACTCCTTACACACTAGGCCACCAGAGCTCCTTCTGGTAACTGTAGTAATCATTATAAGCTGGTGTTGAGAAGATAGTATTGCCGCATTTCTGTTTTCATGTAATTGTTACATATAAGATAAAAGAGACCGCAAAGGTGAACCTTTCATTAACCATAAGTGAGTATCAGAACTCAGGATTAAATGTTCTAAGAAGGACACTAACCCTAAAGCCCTGACATCCTGGTGCTGTGGGGAGCAGGACTAGACTGCTGGGGACACACTCCAGTTTCAAGGACCCAAGCCCTGGCTGTCCCTTGTATTGATGAAGTTTGAAGGGAATGCTTAGCACATGGGAGTGGATGTTTGCCTCTGAATCCCAGTCAGTGCCGTTTGTGGTGGTGTATTTTGCCAAAGTAAAACCTTCCCATGAAATGAGCACAGCAGGATTTATTCAGCCTGCAGGAATGTGCTTATTCCGTAGTGCGTCTGTGGCTTTGTGATCCTCTCCTGATAGGCTGGTTCAAATCCAGCCAGTGGCTCTGCTTGGAGATATCAGCCTGGGGCACCCCGTGAAGAAGTTCTTTTATGTTGTATGGAGTGGCTCTCGGTCAGAAATTCCCTCACTGACACACAAGGTGGCCGATTCTGTGCTGCTTCCATTCTGAAGCATGTGTGTGACTACAGGTACTCTTGGTACTCTTGTGTATGTGACACCTTACTCTGTCTCAAAAATGAAAGCAGCCCTGTTTGCATCCTGTTCACACTATCTGCTTTCATCGTAGACTGTGGAAGCAGCACAGATCCATCCAAATACCGAAATTATCAGCTTTCGAAGAGAAGATCAATTATTGCACATAGATGTGTAGGGAGGGGAGGAATGGCTTATATGTTCTCTCTGAGTGTTCCTTTCTGAACTCAGAGGACAGTTTCAAGAGTTCAGCTCATTGAAGGAATAAAGAATTGCCATTGAAGGAAAAAGAATTGCATCAAACCCATGGTCTGCCTCTTATTGAAGAAATAAAGATTTGCCATTGAAGGAATAAAGAATTGAATCAAACGCATGGTCTGCCTGAAGAACTCGCTCCTTTGAAAGGATGATGTCATGCTGTCACCAAATGATCTTTGGGCATGTTGTCAGAAGAGGCCAGCCTCCAGAGAAAGACATTTTGCCGGTAAAGCAGAGGATCAGCAAAAAAGGAAAGCCCCACTAGAGAATCAGTTATGTGTCAGTTCTGACTTGAAGGAAAACTATTATCTCTAGAAGACACAGTTCTTTGCTATAAACGGTTACCATTTTGGAGTTGAGAGTTGCTGCTAATATTTAGCACCTAACCTCCAGTTTCCATATTGAGATCTAAAAGTTAGACTTGGTTTTTCCAAGAGGCTACAGGAGAGAAGCAGGTGTAATTAGACAAGTAGATGTCAAGGTTATCTTTGCTGTGTATACCTACAAAAGCTGCTGTTGAATCTCTGGTCTAGGTTCAAAGAAAATACAAATGTTTTTAGTGAAACAGGTTAACAGACTAGTGAGGAGAGAATTGTGAGGGAATAGAGATGGGAGATTCATGATTTCAAGGATAGGAGCTCATCTCGAGTTTGAGTCATCTGCGACTGCTGTCCTATTTATGGTGGAGAGCAGGCTCTAGAATCTCACCTCTCTCCACGTCTCCCTGACTACAGCAAAACAGACACTAAAAAGTCAGTACTTCCTTAGAAGACTTCCTGTTTCCTTGAATGGCGCCACTGTCCTTTTGCATAGAGAGCAAAATCCAGCAGTAATCTTTCTTTTGCTCTCTCCCTATCAGTGATATATCCAAAACATCTCTCAAGGCCATCCATTCATTTTCTATTGCTGCTTCCCAGGAGCCTATATCTGTTCTCAGGCAAATGGTATAATGGCCCATTCTTGCTGCTATACGTTCCACCCTTTTTGTACCACCCAGGATAAAGTCAGAGCACACTGGCCCCATGCTTAGAAATCCTCCACTGGCCCCTGTTACATGGGAAAGTCTGGCCTTATCCCAGGGAGGCCCCTTCCCATCTTGCTGGTCTTTGCACATACTGCTCTTAATTGCTTGCTGTGCTTCATACCAGCTTTCTCTCCTCTTCATGGGCCATCGTTCAAACTTTGCATGAGCTTTTATCTTTAAAGCCATGAATTTCCATCTCCTTTTTCCAGGAATCATTCTCTTCCTGAAAATCTTTCCTTTCTGAACTCCTTTATTCCATAATTCCACAGACTCTGGGCTCGGTTCCTTCTTGTCAGTCATTCAGACTTGAGCACATACTTCATCCTCTCTTCTCCCCTGACCTCCTGCTGTCAGGCAGTCACTAACATTACTCTAATTTATGCTTTGTGAAGTCTCGTTGTGTCAGTTGCTCAGTTTGTCTGTTGTTTGAGGTGTGCCTCTCTCGAATGTGAACCTCATGACAACAGGGACCGTGTCTGTCTTGTTCCTGTGTCCTCTGTTCAGAACACAGAAAGTTGTGGGGCATGAATAAATGAGTGAATGAATGAATCTGATCTACTAAGGCCAGCACTTAAAAGCGCATTGATGAGGGAGCTCTGGTGGCCTGGTGGTAAGAAGCTGCACTGCAATCTTGAAGTCGCCCGGTTCGAATCCACCAGATGCTCCGCTGGAGAAGGAGAGGCAATCTCTTGTGACAGCTGGATCCGATTCGAGGGTACACAACAAGAAAAAAAAAGTGCATAGATGACCTCTGATAGTGGGAGCCACTGGTAGTGCATATTGTTGGGGGGTTTCCTTTCTGCCTCCACAGTCTTCCTTGACAGCTGGTTGATGGTCTGTCTTCTTTCCCCACAGCCGCCCATGCCAGCTTCCTTTCCCAGCGACAGTGCACCAGCACAGCCCAATGTCCTCGCAGACCTCTTCCATCAGTGGGCCGCTGCACTCCGTCTCCTTACCACTTCCCCTTCCGATGACTCTGGCAGCCCCACAGCCACCGCCTGCTGCATCCCCCAGCCAGCAGCTTGGCCCCGATGCGTTTGCGATTGTGGAGCGAGCCCAGCAGATGGTGGAGATCCTAACAGAGGAGAATCGGGTGCTTCACCAGGAGCTGCAGGGTTACTATGACAATGCCGACAAGCTTCACAAGGTATGAACTTGTTGGGCACCGGGGAGAAGATGGCCCTTTGGAAGCATAGCTGATTCTTCGGTGGTTTTTCAGAAGTTGTAGTTTGCATGGGAGTAAAGTGCCTGTTTTTTTCTGCTGCAGAGCAGCTGGTGGATTTGAACCACTTGCCTTCAGGTTGACAGTACAACTTCTTACCTACTAGACTACCAGAGTTCCTAACCCTTATCCAGGCCTCCGTTTATTCCTTTTACGTACACTATTTTATGGAGGCAAAAAAAAGATCAATACAGTTCTTGTGGGGGGAGGATCTTACAGTCTAGGGCCTGGGAGAGTCTTATATTCTAGATAGTTGTGTAAGTCAAAATATACACAATCCAAGGCTTAAATGGATTTCCCAGATGGACAGGTGTGGTGCGGTCTCTCTTGGACTACCAGGAGTAACAGAAGGAGATGGAGTTTTCCCTTTAAATCTGGGAATCTCAGACTTATTTCTTTCATTAATATACCTCTACTCAGGAGCAGTGTTGCATCCACACTCGAGGGTGGGCATTATCGCATGCTTTCCTTACGCTCATGATTCACCAAGTGGGGAGATGTTCATTCCAGGCTATGTAGTCATCATGGGAATCTTGGGATACCTGGTGGCCTCCATGCGTCATGTAAGGGTCAGACAAAGTACAAGATCACTCAGCAAGAATAGCCTGTCTCTGCAGTGATTCCTCGCTGACCCGCACATCAGCATCTGGTATGTTTAGGCAGAGTGGGGAGGCAGCTCTCCAAAGGCAGGAGATCCACGAGGCCCTTGAATTCTTTCTTAGGAGCAATTGTTATACTCATTGCTCTTATAAGGGACTGTCTGTATGCTTGGCTCTGTCCTGGGCTTTTATAAAGAGAAAGGATAGGAATATAAAACTCACCTACCTATAGAAATATTGCAATTTCAGCTGCATATGATACTTAATGTGCCTGGCTGGGCCACATGGTGTTTAATAGTTAGGACTGCTTTTACAGATAAAGAAGCCTGTTCTGGTGAAGGCCTGCTTCCCTGCATGCTGGCAGCCAGAAGCTGGCAGCAGTGATTTGATGGTGCAGATGTTCACAGATGGAATCTGCCCTGACATGTGTCCGTGGAGCCACCACTGGAAGTGTCTGGGGCTTCCTGGAGCATCGAGCCCAGACTTGGTGCAGAGAGTTCCAGCTGCCTTTGTGAGAGAGATTAAAAAAAAATCAAAGCCAGAATCCAACAGGGGCTGCCTGAAAATTACAGCCCTACACCCATTCATACCCTTCAGAATTGGGAAACAGTGTTGTTTGCAAGTCATGGGCCTCTAAGCCAGTGGTCAGGCCCAAGCTTGCCTCCGCCATCCCCTGTGGCAGCCTCTTTCTGGGTATGGGCTGGAAATTCATGAGGTCCGACTTGACACTCCTGGGAAACCAGTGTTTTTCTCTCCCCTAAGGATGCACGCTGATAAATGTGTCCAGGCGCTGTGCAGACCCAGCCCAGGGCAGAGACTGCTTCTGGATCTTGTCATGAGGGTTTTGTCTCAACAGTTCTTCATGACTAACTTTTTGTGTGTGAAGGCGAACTTTGAATTGGCATGTAACATACATACCTTGCTTGACTTTGATGAACGTTTTTGTTTTGCAAAACACAATTACTTCTATCTCCCAAGGACTAAATATCCCCGCACAGGGGATGATTTTGGAAATTTGTGGCCAGAAGGATTTTGATGACTACTGAGCAAAGAGAAAAAAAGCAAGGGCTGTGACTGTTGCTGTTGTTGGACCACGGAGTGAGGACCAGCTCACCGCTGACCCTCCAGCGGGTTTTCAGAGGCTGTTAATCACATGAGAGGAGATGACTTCTCTTTCTCCCCCAGAGAAGCTGGTGGATTTGAACCTCTTGACTTGGGGTTAGCAGCACAACTCCTTGTCACTCTGCCACCACTGTCCCCGTAGGACATAGAAAAGCTATGTGAACCCTTAAGCTTGCCATTTTGTGGCTTATTTTGCCAGGGTCATCCTAGTCATAGAACTTCTCATAGCATTGGCCTCACTGCTCATGCTCTCTCAGCAGCTTCTAACGCGTGGGTCTGGGGAGAGGGTGGTCATTTGGTTGACAGTCTTGCCTTTCAGTGACAATAGCTGCTGATACCCCTGGCATAGAATAGGCTCTTCCCTTTGGGTGGGGTCACTACAATCCATTTTAGGATGTGACCGCTCTGTGCCAGTAACAGCATTTGATCAGAGATCTTCCTAGGACTAGGAGCGCCTTGGCTCTCACAGGTATTCATGGTAAGGGCCAAACCAAAAATAGATAGATTTTTAATTGCAGAGCTTAGCCTGCGCATACAGTGCCAGGAACACAGCAGGAAAGAACTAAGAATTCCGAGACTGTCAAAGCCCAGCCTGGATATTGAAGACCCTGCTTCCAAAGAGGCAAAGGTAGTGATTATCCCTGCTGCTGCAGGAATAGTGGTTGAACACCCCAGAAAGAACTGCTGGTTTTCTTATTTCTTTTTTAGTTACTCACTTTGCTTTTTTTTCTACACACACACACAACACACACACACACACACACGCACGCACACACACACACACACACACACACACACACACACACACGTTTCCCTGAAATACAATTAATGGACAGAGTTTCCCAAGAAGCAGATCATGGACTGTGGAGTGAGTGGTTGAGGACGAGCCGTCAGGGGATAGATGGGCATCTGAGCATTTCTGATCTCCCTGGCTCTGATCACATAGTCTGTGTCATGGCCAGCAGACCCCTGTTTGGTCCCATAAGCCAAAGAGCTGTGTTTGTGAAGGTTCTCAGGGCAGAGCCACTACCGAGCATCTGGGATGACTGAAATTTTCTCAAGATTTCCCTTTGTCCATTCCCTGTACGGCAGCAGCTCCAATGGAAGCCGTGTAATTCTCTCCCCACTGTTTGTTCCTCTGTTTCTGGGATATCACGTGTTTCCCCATATGGTGTCAGGGTGGCCATGAATTAGAGGCAACTCCATGGCAGCTGGTTTACTGAGTTGGCTTAGATCAAGGAGAGCAAATCCAGTATTTTCTCCATGCAGTCACACACACACACACACACACACACACACACACACACACAGAGTAAACTGGCCCAGGGGACTGTGTGTGCAAACCAGGCCATCCAGCTTCTTCAGCTTCAGTGAATATTTGTGAGTGCTAAATATGTTGGAGAAATGGAGAATATAGAGATAAAGATGTGGATCTTGCTCTGACGGAGTATGCACACTGTAGAATTTTAGACATAATATTCTTTAAAATTATTCTCATCCAGCTTACCATGTCTAGAATTCTGCTTCATGTCCCTGAAAGGAATTTATTCTGATTTTGCGTAAATACTTCGGAAAAAGAAATAGGCTCACTCGCAATCTGTTGTGTCCACTACCCTTCTGAAAAATGTAGTTAGAAGGCCATCCTTATGTTGAATCACAGTCTAGGATCTTTATCTTCTGGGATTTGACCTTTGTCATTCAGTGTGCTATGTCTTCACTGAGGAAAACAAACCTCTCTCCATCAGCTGTCTTTTCCCCCAAGACAAACCTGGTCCAGAGGTACATCTTGATCAGGTCCTTTCTCTCTTGGAGCCTTCCAAGCATATAACCAACCCTATTCTGATTCTTGACTTTTTAAACACTCAGAAACTTCAAACTGATTGCCATTGAATTAGAACCAACACATAGCTGCCTCTCTAGACAGTTTTTAGAGACTCTACATCTTTAACAAAGAAGTAGATTGCCCATCTTTCTTCGTTGGAGCTGCTTGTGGCTTTGAACTGCCAGTTGGGTTGACAGTGCAGCTCTCTATGCATCTGAGAGTTGGGAAATGAATAATGAAAACTGAAAAGTAATCTATGCCTTTGAATTGTGATGTTGTTGAGGAATATTAAATATTCCCCAGGCTACTTACATAACAAATCTGTCTTAAAGGAATGAATAAAATAAAAAAGCCACTGTAGGCACCTAATTTCTATTTATAGTATGCAGAAGGAAACTCTTCAAGTTAACCAGGTGTAGAATTTAAATGATCGGATTCTTTTATTTGTTGTTGTTGTTGTTATGTGCCGTTGAGTCGCTTGCGACTCATAGCGACCCTATGTACAACAGCCCTAAACCCTGCTCTATCCTGTGCCAAGCTCACTGCCTCTTACACATCCATCCCGAATACCCCAGTCACTGAATCAGTCCACCTCATAGAGGGTCTTCCCCTCCTGCGCTGTCCCTCCACTCTGCCCAGCATGATGTCCCTCTCCAAAG